TGTCGGCAATAACTAAAATTTTGATTGTTATAAAGTTTGAATGTGAGCTTCTGTTTTCATAGAACGCAAGCGCTGACAATTACAAGTAGTTGTTTTGAATATTTATGTCGTTAAGGTCATTGGTAAAACCGATGAAGTTAGATCCCAGTCTGGGGAGCTATTAGTTTAGAATTTTCTTAATTGAAATTCTTTTTTAATTAGTATATTGTTCATGTATTATTATAATAATATCTTATTGAAATGTATCTAAGAAAACTATATAATAAATATATATATATATATATATATATATATATATATATATATATATATTTAATTAAAAACAATATGCAGAGTAAAAAAAATAGAAAAGTAGCAGTAATATATTTGATTTAAAATGTATTCAGGATTTTTTTGTAAATATGGCAACATTGTCAACTTAGCTCGAGGACGTGGATAAGGACGTGCGTCAAGATTTATACTATCATCATCATCTTTGGCTCGACAATCCTCTGTGGATCTTGGCCTGCTCTAAGATTCGTCGCCATTCTGTTCGGTTTTTGGCAACATGTTGCCATCTTCTGATTTTTAATATTCGTAAGTCGGTTTCTACTCCATCTAACCACCTAATTCGCGGTCGGCCTTTGCTTCTTTTTCCTACAGGTGTTCCTGTGGTTAGCTTTTTAGCAATGGTATTTTCTGGCATTCGTATTATGTGTCCAGCCCATCTAAGTCGCTTATGTTATGACATCTGGCTCATCAAAGAGCTGATACAATTCAAAATTATATCTTCTGCGCCACTGCCCTTGGTCGTTTACAGCTCCAAATATTTTGCGGAGTATTTTACGCTCAAATATTCCCAAAAGTCTTTCATCTTTCTGCGTTAGTGTCCATGTTTCTGCTCCTTATGTGAGGACCGGCCTCAGCAATGTTTTGTATATAATAATTTTAGTTCTTCTTTGAATGTTTCTTGAGTGGAAATGCTTTTGGAGTCCATAGTATGCCCTATTTGTAAGATTTATTCGTCTTTTGATTTCTTCGCTTGTTTTATTGGTAGCAGTCAATAGCGACCCAAGGTATGTGAAGTTGTCAACACGTCCAAAGGTATGACTTCCAAAGACTGTTTCTCGTTCCTCATTTGCTATCGGATCCTTTGTAACCAACATGTACTTGGTTTTGTCTTCGTTGATGACTAGACCGACCTGTTTCGCCGCTGTTTCCAATTCTAGGAAATATTGCTCTACATCTCGCTTGCTACGCCCTATTATGTCAATGTCATCAGCATATGCTAAGACTTGTATCGATCTATTGTAAATAGTACCGCCGTCCCTAATTCGTGTATCTCGGACTGCCTTTTCTAAGGCAATATTAAATAGGAGGCAAGCCAGAGCATCTCCTAGTCTGAGTCCATCCTTTATCTCAAAGGATCTAGAACTCTCTCCCTGTATTCTAACAGTGGCTTCTAAGTTAGACATTCTCGTTAGTCGGATAAGTTTCTCTGGTATACCAAACTCATGCATTGATTGGTATAGCACTGTTCTCTTGACACTGTCGTATGCTGCCTTGAAGTCGACGAATAGGTGATGAATTTCAATATTGAATTCTAATGTTTTCTCGAGAATCTGTCTTATTGAATGAATCTGGTCAATTGTTGATTTTTCTGGAGTGAATCCAACTTGATATTTACCAACTATGCCCACTGTGTAAACTTGCAACCTTTCGCAGAGAATATTTGCTAGTATTTTGTAAGCAGTTGTTAACAGGGTTATACCTCTATAGTTGTCACATTGGAGCTGGTCACCTTTTGTATGTAACGGGCATATCATGCCTTGAGACCATTCACAAGGCATGGTCTCATTATGCCAAACAAGAAGTAAAAGCTTATGCAGTGTCTGTAGTAGGGCATCGCCACCATTCTTGTAGAGCTCACTGCAAATTTGATCAACTCCTGGTGATTTATTATTTTTAAGCTTTTTAATGGCTTGGGCAACGTTTTCGATGGTAGGTGGTCTTTCGTTTGGGTTGAAAGGATTCCAATCATTTCGATTTGCTAGAGTGTTATCTGCTTCTTCGATATGATGGCCATTAAATTTTGCATCGAAAAATTCAACCCATCTGTTTAGGATTGAGGCCGTATCATTTAGGATGTTTCCTTCTACGTCCTTACAGCTCCTTATTCTTGGCTTAAACTCTTTGCGCATTTTGTTTAGATGCCTGTAGAACTTTCGAGTTTCATTTTGATTTCTTAGGAATTCTGTGCTTTCCAATTGCTTTTGCTCAAATTGTCTTTTTTTTTTTTTTTTTTTTTTTTTTTTTTTTTTTTTTTTTTTTTTTTTCTTTTTTTTTTCTATTATACTATACTAGATAAGATTTATACTATACTAACTGTATAATTTGCATATTGTGTTAGTAACTTGTTGAGAGGATTGCAATTATATTACTTTTCCCCATAAAACGAACCAGATAACATTGACTTATGGACCATTACTTACTTACTTACTTACTCCGTGGTGTTACAACCCTTCGTGGGTTTTAGCCGACTCGACAACATGCCTTATGGACCATTAACATCCTAAAATATCGACCAAATGTATTTATTTTCAGTAAGACTTATTTGAATATCTGTAACCATAATTTTTACGGCATCAATGGAGCTTGAGACCATAATGTGTATTTTCCAGAGCGCCAGTTGGATTATGGCACCATTCCAATCGGTTTTTAATTATTCTTTCAAAACCTCTAAATACATAATCGTTTAACAACTCCATTCAGCAAAAATTTGTGATGACTACACTACCAAGAGATCTGGTATGACGAGTGGATGACAGATGAGATCCTGACTCTAATGGACGAGAGAAGAGAAGTCAAAAATGACCCAGACAAATATAAAACCATAGATATATTAATAAGAACAAAAATCAGAAAAGTGAAAGAAAAAGAAGCAAGGGAAAGATGCGAGGAAACTGAAACTCTGCAGTAAAAGTACAATAGTCACAATGTACATAGAAAAGTTAAAGAACTCGCAGAGGGACTAAGACGAAGACAGAAAGGAAATATAACTGATTCTAATGGAAATATCATCTTGGACAAACAGAGTAAAATAAGAACGTGGAAAGAATATATAGAAAAACTATTTGAAGACCAAAGAGATAACACCCTTGAGCTAGATGAAAAGGTCAATGGTGGACCAAGAACATTACAGCAGGAAGTTTATTTTGCAATAACACAGTTAAAGGAAGGCAAAACGGCAGGCTCTGATAATATACAAGCAGAACTACTCCAACTAATGGACAAAGAATCAATAGCAATAATTGCAAAGATGTTCAACAACATATACAACTCTGAAAAAATACCAACATAATGGCTGAAATCTAAGCTTATTGCACTTAAAAAAAAAACAGGAGCCAAAAATGCGAAGCTTACTGTACTATAATGCTCATGAGTAATCTCCTAAGTTTGTTCCTAAAGATAATTCAAAAGAGAATCTATAAGCTGTGTAAAAGTCAAATTTCCTTTAACCAGTTCGAGTTCACAAATGCTGTTGGTACTAGAGAGGCTTTGTTCTCAGTACAAGTCTTATTCCAGAAATGAAGAGTCGTCAACTGCGACGTATACGCATGTCTGGTTAATTACAAAAAGCACGCCAAGATGATGCAAATACTAAAAGAACCAGGAATTAACAACCAAGATCTGAAAATAATTAAAAATTTTTACTTTAATCGGACAATAAATCTCAGAGTTGAAGGTAAATACACTGACTATGTCAAAATCATGCGTGGAGTGAGGCAATGCTGTATTTTGTCTTCTTTAATATTTAATCTGTATTCTGAAAGAAAATTTATCGAAGCTTTGCACGAAACTGGAAAAGGTATTCTACTAAATGATAACCGGCTAAACAACATCAGATATGCAGATGACACCATATTATTTTCGGAAAACTTAGAAGACCTACAAGTTTTTATAAACAAAATCATGTATTACAGTCAACAATATAGACTCAATATAAACCTTATGAATACTAAGCTTATGATAATTAGCAAGAAAACGATACCAGAAGGTCAACTCTACATCAACCAATCCACTGTAGAAAGAGTGACGTACTACAAATACATCGGCATCATAATAAATTAAGAATGGGCCAACAACCAGGAGATTAGAGCACACATCGGAAAAGCTTGATCCACCTTCATTTGGATTGGGATCTTCAAGAGTCACAACCTTTCTCTTCATACAAAAGTAAGAATGCTGCGATGCTACGTCTTCCCTGTCCTTCTTTATAATGTTAAATCGTGGACCTTGAACGAAGATATGTGCAGAAAACTGGAAGCATTTGAGATGTGCCTATATCGGAAAATACTTAAGATTTCGTGGACTAACCAAGTTACAAATGAGGAGGTCCTCAGAAGAATGCATAAGAACCGAAAGGTACTGACTACCATCAAATCCCGAAAGTTACTATTCTTCGGACATATTATGCGAAATGAATCCAGATATGCTCTTTTTCAATAATTATTTTTTTAATTAAAATTAAATATTTGATTTTTTTTGTTCCTGTCTATAAGAGAAAAAATTATTTTTATAAAATAGTATAGCATTTTACTAAAATAGTAAGTAAATAACTCTCAACAATTTAAAATAAAATTTGCTTGGCACATAAAATATGTAAACACTCAAAATGGCGACAATGTTTTCAAACACAAGCTTCGTGATGCTTCGTAAGAAATCATGAACTTCGTGCATCTTCGTATCAAAACAATAAATAATAACAAAGGTATTCATGTTGTGGATACTTTTTAAAGCGTTCACCGAGTCTATATATTATACATCATTGAATACTACCAAGACTTCTTATTTTTAAATAGCTTACAGCCAACAATAATTAAATTTTTTTGTGATAAAATATTATTTGTGACGCCTATGGCAGTAGCTATAAAATGGAATACGTATTATGCATAATTGCCTTTATATTTTAACACACCAGATATGAAATACACTTATAATATAATATATCGTTTACTTTTAAATCTTTTTCTAGTAGATAAGAGATAAGATGCATGATTTGTAGACATTCAGTTTCATAATTACTTTTTTAATAATAGAATGTTGAAAAAATTGCTGGATTAAGATGGTTGTAATTAAAAATATTTTTAACACTCTTACAGGAACAGTACTGTCAAGTAAGTAAAGTTTTTATTTACTTTTTAATAATGTATTCGACATTTCAAAAGTGTTGTGTCTTTGGCCGATCCCATCTTAACATTCGACGTACCATAACAATTATTGGAAATGGTAAATATTCTTTGTTTTTTGCATACTTCATCCGTTGGACATCTCCTATTAGCTGTTTAATTTGATGGTGACATTTTCGTCCAGTCTCATCTAACCCCAGTTCCCATTTTTAAAAGTATCGTTATAAATATAAAGTAGGTACTTCAAAGTAGTGTCGATTTATGTTCTAAAAATGCTTGTCTTAAATATGACTGAAGAGTATTATATTTTGAACAGTTGGACAGTATTACTAATTTTGGGTACTTGACCAGGGTCGATAATAATTTTTGAAACCAAAAAAAATTATAGTAGAATGAAACCCATCGGAAAAGGAAGAGAATATGCTAAAAATGGAAGAAAAAATTAATTTCACTCCATCCGAGGTCGGGAAGTGGGAGGGGGTTGGGAAGGTTTAGTTGGAAGGGTAAAAATCGGTTTATCGCAATTTTCGGCGAAACTACAAGTGCTATGGAAAAAAGTTAAATAGCAAATTTGTAGGCAACAAAAAGATCTACAACTTTTGTATCTACACTGGATTCCATTCTATCATTGCGTATGTCACTGCCTCATCGCCTGCTCGCCAGATGTGACCTAACCATCTAACTCTGCATTGCTTTATTTTAGTTACAATGTCTTTCTTAAGTTCTTCCTTAATTTCTGCATTTGTTCTGCTTCTATATTCATTTTGCTCTGTTCTGATTGGTCCTAGTATGGTTCTCATAATCTTTCTCTCTGCAATTCTTAAGTCTTCTTCATCTTTTTTAACCATCGTCATTGTTTCCCCTGCATATAATAATATTGGTCTAATTATGGTGTTATAAATGCTCATCTTGCTTTTTTTAGTCAGTGTTTTGCTTTTAAGTAATCTTTTGTTTGCAAAATAAGCTTTATTCGCTGCTAATATTTTTTCTTTTAGTTCGGATTTCCTTTCTCCGGATTTACTTATTATAACTCCTAGGTATTTGAAGTATTCTACTTCTTCAAACTCGGAACTTCCTATTTTGATTTTTTCCTTCATTGGTTTTTTCCCTAATCTTAATATTTTTGTCTTTTCTTGATTTAATCTTAGCCCCATTACCTCCTCTTTCTCTCTTATTTCTTCAAGCATTTCTTTCATTATTTTTCTGTTCTTTGCAATAATAGCAATATCATTTGCATATGCAATTATTTGACCACCTCTTGTTCTGAGATTTCCTTTATTTATATTTCGCAGTACATATTCTAATGCTAGATTAAATAGCGTCGTTGATAAGGCATCTCCTTGTTTCATCCCTTTATTTATACTGAATTCCTCTGTCTCTCCTCTTTGTGTCTTTATGCTTATTTTTGTAGTTCTCATTGTCATTTCTATTAATTTTCTGAGTTTATGTGGAATTTTTAATTTTTTAAGTGCTGTCATTAATACGTTCCTTTTAATTGAATCAAATGCCTGTTTGAAGTCTATGAATAACATTTCCAATTCTAATTTATACTCGTTTGCTTTTTCCATTATTTGTTTTATTGTGTGTATTGCATCTATTGTAGATCTTCCTTCTGTGAATCCACATTGGTGCTGTCCTACTGTCTTCTTTGTGATCTTTGATAACCTCTTTTTTATTATTGATGTCAATATTTTATATGTTGTATTTAGTAATGTTATTCCTCTATAATTTTCACAGATTTGTTGGTCTCCCTTTTTATGTACGGTTATGATCTGTCCTACCTCCTAGTCACCTGGCATTTTCTCTTCTTTTCATATATTTTTCAATAGTGCCAGTATTTTTCCTCTTAGTTCCCTTCCCCCGTATTTTATTAGTTTCATATTAATTCCATCTTTACCTGGGGCTTTTCCATTTTTGCTTCTCTGTATTACTTCATCCAATTCCTCTAATGTTGGTTCTTTTGAAATTTCGATGTCTACTTCATTTGCTTCTTCTTCGTGTACTGTTTCCTCCTCGTCATGCATTTCTTCTTCTGTTGTTTCCTCCGTCAAGAGCTCTCTGTAGTAATCTCTCCATACTTGCTTGTATTCTTGGTCCTCTATTATCACTATTCCCTCTCTATTTTTTATTCCGTTTGTTTTGCCCTTGTATTTTTTGTTTTGTTCTTTAATCTTTTTGTAAAAACTTTTCGTTCTTCTGTTTGTTCTTTCCTGCTCTATTTCCTGCATTTTTTTGTCTACCCATCTTCTTTTATTTTGCCTTATCACTTTCTTAGCATACCTTCTTAATTTTTCATATTCTTCTCTGTCTTCCTCTTTATCTGTTCTTAACCATTTATTTCTGGCTTCCACTTTTTTTTCTGTTATTTCTCTACATTCTTGGTTATACCATTCGTTTCTTGTTTTAGCCTGACTTTTACCTATCTGCATATTTGCACCTTCTTCTATTGATTTTTTGATCGTCTCCCATTCTGTGCTTATATCTTCTACTTTATATTTCTCTTTTATTTGAACTGTTACTGCCTCTTCATATTTTTTTCTTACTTCTTCATTACATAGTTTATTGACATTCCACGTTTTATGTTGGTTTTTTTGTTTTGTTTCAATTTTAACTTTTTGTCTTAAAATGGCTGTGACCATGTAGTGGTCTGAATCTGCACACGCACCTCTGAACGTTCTTACATCTTTTATTGACGATTGTTTTTGTTTATTAATCATTATGCGATCAATTTGACTATATGTTTTCTGATCCGGTGACCTCCATGTTACCTTATGTATTTTAGGGTGTTCAAATTTTGTCGAGCTTATTAACAAATTTGTTCTTGTTGCTAGGTTACATAGTCTTTGCCCATTGTCATTCGTGTTTTCGTGTATTGTATGCTTTCCTGCAATTTGCTGTAAAAAGTCCTCTTTTCCAATTTGGGCGTTGAGGTCTCCCAGTACAAATATGACATCTTCTTTGGGTATTTTTTCTATCTCCTCTTCGACCTTATCATAAAAGATTTCTTTTTCGTCTGCATTGCTTGTTTCTGTGGGGGCGTATAAATTCAAGACTGATATATTAAATGGTTTGCTGTTGACTCTAACATAGGCCATCCTTTCGCATATTGGCTTGAAACTTATAATTTTCTCTCTTAGGTGACTAAGTATCATGAATCCCACGCCTTTTGCCCTTGCTTCTTTCCTCCTGAATATAACATTGTAAAGTCTCGTTTGTCAATCTGTCCCTGTCCCTCCCAGCGTAATTCTTGCAGTGCTGCAATATCTATTTTATACTTTTTGAGTTCCTTTCCTACTTCTAGCATTTTTCCTGGAGCTAGCATAGTTCTTATGTTCCATGTGCTTATTTTCAACTCTTTATTTTTTTTGCTCTGTTGTCTTCGTCCTTTATAATTGTTTTCTTGTCCATTTTTCTTTATTTCACTTTTGTTGTGCCCGGGTTTATCTGCAGTTATTTCCTGTTTCTTTGCCTCGTCCGTCAACGAATAATGTATCCTCTCATCCCTTGCTAGTTTTTTGAACCACCTACATGATGGTCCTCCAGCTGGTTGGTGTTTCTATTCCATCTTCTTTCTAGACCATTTATTATAAGTTTGTTGGCTTTAATTTGGACACGTTTACCTTTCTTTATTTCATCTTTTGCTATTCTTCGTATTTCCCTCTGTATTTGTAATTCCTCTGTCGTTAGCTCATTGTTTATATATATTTTTTCTTTTTTCACTTCTTTAAGTTTACTTTTGTTTTCCATAATTTTTGTTTTTTCTTCTTTGTTTGGCAATCTGACTAAACATGTTTTATCTCCTAGTTTCACTGCTTCATCTATATTTACAGTAATATTTAGCTCTTTTGTTATAAAATTTTCTATCACTTCTTTTAGTACTCTTCTATCTCCAGTTTCTATTGTCATTCCCTGTATTATCACATTATTTTCTTTTCTTATTCTATCCAGCTTTTCAAGGCGTCCTTTTGTCTCATTCAGATCCTTTTTGATTTGTTCATTTTCTTTCCAGATTTTACTATTCTCTTGTTTTAGTTCTGCTAGTTCAGTTTTGAGTTCCCTCATTTCTTCTCTGTATTGTTTTTGTTCCGTTTTTACCTCTTTTATATCAGTTTTTAATTCTTGTAACTCTATTGTTAAATTTTTTATCATATTTAGTATTTGATCTATTTTGTTTTCATCTTTGTGACTTTTAATTGGGCTTCTTTGTACTTTTTTACTGGGACCAAATAATAGTTCCTCTTCTTCTCTATTTCTTTTCCGATTGTCATCGGATGTATTATCATCTGAATCCATATTTCTGCTGCTACTACTCGCGATAGAGCTAACCTCCCCACTCAACGCGTCGAAGGAAGATAGTTCTCTCAAGTAGTAGCTTGTAGTAATTTATTTTTTCGTTTTCTTCCTGGATAAATTAATTTTCAATTAAAATAATTGTCAGATACTTTGGAACGGTTTGATGTGGCAACGCCCACCTCTAGCTTTTAAAACTGATATATAGTGTTAATTACCTGGGCCGGTTTTGTTTTTAGTTTTTTGTGTTGAGAGTAAATAAAATTTCCTTCGCCTTCCTAAATTTTAACGAGGTTATGCACTTACCTCTCTTCCAATGTCTTTGCTATAATTACCCTTAACACTTTTATTCTTGTATTACACACTGCACGCAAAATCAGCAAAATTATCGACTCACAATAACCAAAAATTGAAATTATTATGGAGCAGAATTTACACACATCTATTCCTTACACTAGAGATGGAAGAACTCCTTACACTTTTTTACTTAACCTCAAAATTTTTGTGGAAAATTCAAAAAACCCAGTTTTTGGTTTTTTTTACCAAATTTGGTAAAAACCTACCTTAGTAGTATGTACCAAATATACTGTAATTTTTTAGAATTGAAAAATAAATTTTTTTACCGGATATTGATTTAATATTGAAAAAGCACCCTTGTTTTCAATCGAAAATTCATGCGTCAAAATATCAACTTTTTT